TTCCAAAAACAATGAGCCAATATGGGGGGCAGGCAGAGGTTAAGACCTTGTGATTGCTTAAAATAACAACATGGAGTTGTTTTAAAGGCAGGGATACTCCGAAAGATGTGAGTCAAGTCACTGGAAAGCAGAAAAGGCCACGGAAGCTTGACCATTACCTTCCAAAGAGAAATCATCAATTTTTGAAAATTTGGCTAAAAAAAATCCTTGGCTTGTATATGATGAGTTATTAAATCTTATGTTCTGTGCCCTGTGTCGTAAGCATGGAGTGAAGTCGGGGGGAAGTCAGTTGAGTTTTTCTTATGGCACGGACAACTTTAGGACTGAATTTCTCAACACACATCATCTCAGCGAGGCGCATGCCAAGGCTTCATTAATGGCAGCAACAAGTGGTTCTCCAGTGAACAGAGCCACCACCAACCTTATGGTGAGGACCATGAGCAAAGTCACCCTTGGGAGAGTAGAGAACTTATTCAGATCATGCCATGCTATTGCCAAGACTGGACGTCCCCTCAAAGATTTTATTTGGATGTGCAAGTTGGATGATATGAAGGGTGTCGATATTGGCCCAGTATTCAGAACTAACAAATCAGCAAGAATATTTACATATTTTATTGCTGAAGTAGAACGGAAACATCTAAGAGAGAAACTAGAAAAAAGTAAATTTTTCTCTGTCATCAGTGATGGAATTATAGACAGTTTAATCAAGGAAGCCAAAATTGTCTACGTGCAGTTTGCACATGCAGGAAAAGTGCATTGTCAGATTGTTGGAGTACAGACAGTAGAAAGAAAAGATCCTCTGGCAATAAAAAATGCCATTGAGAAAACTCTAGAGATAAATCTTCAACTTAGGCTGTCGAATCAACAATGGGCAAAGAAACTGGTTGGTTTTGGAAGTAATGGCACCCCTGGCATAGAGGGAGTGAACAATGGTGTAGCCCTGCTTTTAAGAGAAATCCAGCCATGTGTGCAGACTGTATATTGCTTTGCACATCACCTTGAATTGTCTTACAAGGTGGTGTTCCAGAGCGTTCCACTGTACAATGATGTCAAAGATCTTCTTCACAGCATTTATCACTTCTACCACAATTCTCCTCTTCATAAGAATTCTCTGATAACTGCTTTCAAAGGCCTTCACCTTCGACCTGTGATACCTTCTCAAATAGGAGGCAGGAGGTGGCTTCATGGATTACAGACAGCCCTCCAGAACTTTCTCAATGGATATCCCGCAATTGTCCAGCAACTGCATTCAGTAAGTAATTTGGAAATACTGTATTATTTTACTTTTTCAGAATAACAGGAAAAACTTTTTTGAGTTTCTTGGAATAATAATTTTTAGAAAGATAACCACCATATTATTCCCCACCTATTTTATAGGCAAGCAAAGGCAAAAGTGACAGCAGTCAACAGGAAGCCAAAGACCTTCTAGAATCCCTTCTTCAAGCCAACATTGTTAAATTCACCCACTTTTTGGTGGATATCATTAATGTCCTTAGCATTCTGTCCCGTGTCAATCAGAACAGAAATTCCTCAATTGCTGACGTATTTTCCACCTTAGAGTCAACACTGGAAATGCTCCAAATGTATCAAACAAGGTGAGAGGTCAAGGTGATCTGAGGTCTGTCAAACCAGATAGTTTGACTTGGGGACTTATTTAAGCCAAATGCTTTTTCATTTAATTCTTTACGTGGACAATTTTTTTTTCCACCCAGACCAGGGCCGAAAGAACGCAGGGTGGATTCAGTCACATATTTTCATGGTAACTGCCTCAGAGGAAAAGAAAACATTTCTACCATGAGACGCATGATTTTAACACATCTTATCAAGAGGCTGCAAGGCTGTTTCAGAGATGCCAGCCAAGATGTGATGAGGGCTACCATGATTGGAAGCTCTAAGTTGTGGCCCACAAAGATAAATCAAGGTAACCTGCATGCACTGATATTGTCTATATTTTATTGTTTAAATTTTTTTTTCAGAGACAGGGTCCCATTCTGCTGCCCAGGCTGGGCTCAACTGATGCTTCTACCTCAGCCTCCTGAGTAGCTGAGACTAGAGGTGCACACTACCATGCCTAGCTAGTTTTTAAATGTTTTTGTAGAGATAGGGTCTCGCTATGTTGCCCAGGCTAGGCTCAATCTCCTAACCTCAAGCAATCCTCCTGTCTCAGCCTCCCTTAGATTTAGATTTATAGACATGAGCCGTTCCTCCCGGTCCTCTAATTTTGAACCTATTATTGTTTGGCTGTCTTTATGAGTTTCTTTTATATGTGACTTTTCTTGTATATTGATTGCAGAATTTGGGGAAAGAGAGGTATCTATCCTACTTGCACATTATGAACTGGTATTAGAAGCTGCTAATGTGAAACTCGATGAGGTGGACACTGAATGGGGCATGTTGAAATTAGAGATTTATGCCAGGTAAGCAAGAAAGCAAGCTGA